TTCATCGATATCTAGAACAAAAACTAGGGATTACAATTTGGATGTGGTTGCAGTCAGTGGAAATCAATATTTATCCATTTACAATTGATTGATTACTGGGTGGTGATCAATGTCATGTATGTCAGGTCCTTCTTAATGCAGATCGAATCCTATCTACCACGTTGCAATGTATCCACCAGTATAGGTGACTCGAAATTACGTGCACTATAATAAGGTAAGATGGTGGTTGAATGTATTCAACAGGACACCCTAGACCTAGGTTTCGTGCTACTTGGCACTCATAAGCAACGTGTACCTGTAATTCTGAGGGAACTGATGCTCCCTGACGGATTCGGTCCCTTGTCACACAGCTTCACAGTCAGTTAGGAAACAAATCAATATTACTTGTTATTCACATTCTAATTGATTATGCTATTATTTGCCATATCACCTTGCTTTCCTAAAGTTTCAGTTTTTGTATTTGAACTATGAAATTTATTCATAAGTTCATTAAACGGCACTACTACTCAAAAGACCTGTTGTAAAATGAATCGATAAACCATAAGCTTTTGTTCGATCCTTGATTCACTATCATTCCCCGTTTTTATTCCAAAGCTATTTTAGGTCTGCCTTCTTTATTATTCACAATATTTAGTTCATGCTTTCTGTCATGTCAAGTGAAAAGTGAGGAATTTCCCAGATTAATTTTATTTGTTTTGAATTCAGTCTATCACAGGGACTTTTTTAGCTCCTCTGAAACATTATCAGCAAGACATTTGCTATCAGTCAAGTAATCTGTGAAGCTGATTGAAAACAAATTAGTGACATCCAAAGACTTTCAGGAAGGTAGGTCGAAATATTTCCACCAAAGAAAGCAACTGTATAATTTGTAAATGTTTGAGAAACAGTATAATACTGCGATGTCTCAGAATGAAACGATTGTCGTCCAAATTTTTTAAAAAAGTTGTACATAACTTATACACCAACCATTGAAGGATTATTTTATTTTATCTAAACTACTGGCCTCCATCATGTCCATCAAGTTTAGTAGAATCGTGAAACAATAACTACCAACAAACAGCTCAGGTCAAATATTCGTTTTCAACTAAATTTTAATGTACTGCCATAACCACTGAATTCAAAAAATATTTGTATGCATAGATATCAGGTCTTCCTTCAATTCTTTGAACATAACTGTGTTGTCGGTATGTCTTTTGAAGTAAAATATCCCCAAGTGCTTCATCGATATCTTGAAAACTCTGCAAACAAACACTCCAGGTAGGTTAAAAGAATACAATCACCTCTCCTCATTGCTTCAATCTAGCTGTGGGGTTAGACAGTGTTTTCAAGTCCTAACCTTCCTCTTCATCTCTGCTATCAACGGCCTCCTAAAGAACACCATGTAGTAAGTAGTTGTTGGTTAAATCTATAAAGAAAGATTATTTGATGCTGATCACACGGGTGATACTCTTACTGTGTGATGATAAAGAAGCTACCTCAGTCACAAATAACATGGTAGGAATTGGTGTCCTTATGTCTGTCTGTCTGTCTGTTGTCTGACTGTATGTATGTATGTAGTTATGTATGTATGTATGTATGTATGTATGTATGTATGTATGTATGTATGTATGTATGTATGTATGTATGTATGTATGTATGTATGTATGTATGTATTTACCTTGAATCTTCAAAATGTGAATTATTCTTCGACAGTGGCTGGGATCAGTATTTTGTACTGGAAGTGAGGGACACACTTCGGTTGAGATATTGTCATTTAAAATGGACAGTTTCTACTTCGCCATTAGCCCTTAGTGAAATGAAAACAATATAAAAATATACTTTGATAGTTTGTAATCGACGCGAATGAGGGATGACAATACTGCTAATGATTGGAGAGATTATTTAAAAAAGAATGGTCAAACCAGCTACACGAATTATGGTAGGAATCGAAAACTTTTTCAGTATTATATGTATATTCTGATGTTTTGATATTTGTGAAATAAAATAAGTGGTAAAATGTATGGTGAATGTGCAATCTATTTGCTACATTTTTCTTCATTTCTTCCTTATACGATAGATTTTTCTTTATCCATTGTACTACATGTGATGAGCACTGTTGAGGAGTCCCACACTAGGATAAAACGGCTGTCCAGTGCTCTCACGTTTCCGATAGTGATCCAACATTGATCCGTTCATGATTTCAATGAAATTCAACAATCTCGACAACCCTTTATTAATAATTACTCATAATTATTATTCAGTTACTGATTTCATACCGAGTATATTGAGTAGTTATTATCCGTTGACATGTGGTATTTCCAAAAACTTATAAGTACCTGTCACATTCAACTCATTTATCAATGTGATTTTATCCGTTTGACGCTTTGAAGAGTTACCTTTGCTTCTTTTGCAGTTATTGGCGATACACGCAGCTTCGAATCCGGTTAAACTGAGATTTGTATACTGGGTCATCGTTATATTCCTTTAAGGTATACTTTAATAAATTATGAACATTCAGAAAGAATTACAACAAAAAACAAAGATTAGCTTGTTAGAATCTATTCAGTTCAATCATCATCAAACACACTTGATTCCGTGAAACAAAAGATTTTCATCATATACCTAAATCGGCAAGCGTTTCAACTGTCAAAACAACCACGTACCACACACAAACATCAATAACAATAAATCATATTAGTGAGAACATAATTTACGGTCGAACCTTGAGCGACGCTAAATTGACCTTGAGTGTATCCACTTAATAACTAAAACCAAATGAGCCTTATAAACCAGTGTGTGGAGGATTGGAATTATGATTTACAATTGATGGTTAGTGTTAGGAATTAGAGTTAGGGTTTTCATCACCAACTGACATCAGCTTCAATGCCAAATCCCTATTTAGTCAAATGGATGGGTGAATTTCGGGCCAAAATCCCACACCTGTTATCATATACCTGATTGGTTTGCCCATAATTTATAGTCTCGCTATCATATTCATTCAAAATTCGTTTATTCGTTACCACATATACAATCATTTTTCTGATGAATCCATAGTCCACGTATTGCAATCAATGACGCGAAGATGGAAATACCTCCTGATATGCAAGCCATGAGAGAGAACAGTGGTACCACTCCTTTTAAAATTTCACGGTATTCTTTTAATACATTCTCTGATTGAATTCCATTTTATTTCATAGCCGAACTCCATCAAATATCTTAATAAGATTCATAAGAATGAAGTGAGCAAATCAAGAGGAATACAGAAGCGTCACTTACTACAAGCAAACAGTTGTATAGGATGAAAAGCGCTTCCAATTGTTTTGTGAGAATGTTTAGTTCATATTTGTCAGTTTGATGATAATGGATCGACTATAAGAGAATGTTGACAGATATTCGATTTTACTATTGAAATGTGATGATAGATGATGTGTGATTTGTCACAAAATATGCGACTAATTATCTTCATTTTAACTGAGATGTGTCAATGTAGTAAATAGTTGTGATGTGTGTGTAATTTTTGTTTTTCTATAACTGGAATCATGCACATTACAGCTACTTTCATCGTTTTGTTTTCCATGTTGTCAATTCAAATGATGGTGGAACATTTATTGTTGTTGTGTGATGAATGTATTTGCGTTTACTTCTATGTGTGTATATACTACTAATTAGAGAAGTGGTTTCTATTTTTATATTTCACATGAGTATTCTCATGTATACGAGTGTTCAAATGAAATGAATCAGTTGATTTAATTTGTTATAACAATGGTATAGAATATTGTAATCTCAATGGTGAAGCAAACGTAACCCTTGACGGTGATCTAGTGTATTTTATTGGCGAGAATAATCAGAAAATAAGTGAATTATTCTACACTATGTGATATACTGATGAGTGAAAATGTGTATTCCTGAGGTTTTATCTAATTACAGGCTCCTTGTTCAAATCATTCATAAAATTCTGATTTTATTGGAATATCATTTCGTTATTTTGAATTGGTTTCAACAATGTAACTGAAGCTTCAATGAAAAGATCCTCAGAAATGCTGATCCATAGTAATACAAGCTGCACTCGAGAACACCACATTGTTTGGGGTATTTTCATTTCTGTCTACTCTTTACAGAAAAAAAAGGTAGACACTTTGATTTTCATGTACTTAACATACTATGCAACGCAAAGATGGCAAGAAACATTTATGAGAACGAACGGTGTATAATATGGTTAAACAGTACGGCTTCCTACTACTTAAGACATATCATTAACTGAGCTATCAAATGGGAATCTATCAAAATCATCTGAATTCTTTGAGAATGAAATCAGCTCATCCTGTTCAGTCACAGTTAACTGCCATATAAACAGATATCCCAAATTATTGTTATGTACATTCACAGCTTGTGTTCTTCAATGTTATTTTGGTCAATCATCTGAATCTATTTTGAACTATGTCCTCATGATATTGACAATAGAGTTACCTGTCATAATTGAGGAATTACTGTTAAACTTACTGAGTATCCAACCACTCATAATGTTGATGTAAACACTGTATAATGCATATGAATAGGAAGGTTAATGAGTGGAATGTTGGAAATAAACAAATTTCAGTCGATTCCATTCCGACAAATTTATGTCTAATGCATTTTCACATGATTTTAATAGACAGCTAAATTACTTTTAATTACCGTAACTTGAATGAGTGACACTAAATCGCAGTCATCAATATGAAATGCATAAACATACATACAACACAATTATAACTACTTATGATGACAAGAATTTGAACCATAGTGACAATGATAAGGATGTAAATACTTCTGAATTAAGTAAGTTAACTTTGTGTTGTGCATGAATTTCTATTAGAAATACACAGTACAATGAATAAATTAATTCAGACGAATCCCAATTAATTTCACTATTTCACTTGATATTTTGTGAAAATTCAGATTCAAAGTGAAAGATACATTGACTCACATTTATTACCAGTACATACAGCATACACAATATCATCATCTCAGTGAACAATATTGAAATGTTATTGTCAAGTGAATCTTGGACTAAAATATTCATCTTGTGCAATTGTAGTTTTATAGTAAGTATCATTACATGTGTTCGCCTCATATGGTTATTCATTTCATCTTACTTATACAATCCAGGTGTTCGGTGTTGTTCTGTTAGCACTCGGAATTCAACCACAAATCACTTTAAATCAATTCAGAACTATACTACAAAATGCGAAACCAGAGATCTTCCTGGTTGTCAGTATTTCAGGTGGTCTCGGTATACTAGGATCATTTGTTGGCATTTATGGACACTCGATGAAACAGAAAATGATCATATATTTGGTAAGTGATACGTGGAATATGGACAAATGTATTTCACTCATACCTCTGTTTAGAACATTTTCGTTTTGCTTATCGTGACTTGTATGTGGATCGGAATGGCATCAAAAGTAGCTTTAACGGAAGACAGGGTTTGTTTGAAATAAACTGAACCTAATGTGTCGTGCACACTAATCTTCATATATTTATAGTTCCTTAATTTAGTTAATAGCTCACTGAGTTCTACTGTTAAAGAATATGAGAAACGTGTTGATTATCGAATGGAGTTTGACGAATTACAAAAGAGTGTAAATTATAATCAAATCAAAAATTCTAATGCCTTCTTCTCTATAGTTTTACTGCTGTGGAGCAAATTCGGAAAATGATTATCGACATCCACAACATACTAGGTCAGTACTAACACCTGCTTCATGTAAATACGACAGATTCGCATATCCTAAAGTAAGTCAATAATTTTGCAAATTTTTAACCAATTAAATTACCTGATTTCATCAGTTTAACAATCCCCATTTGAATATTCATTTTTGTATTACCTTCCGATTTACAACCGAATACTAAATGTTCAGCTCACACACTAGGAACACGTTGAGTCAACTGGCATGTGGAATAATTTTATTTATTGAACAGAATTTTAATCGCGTTTTAAGAACATTAGTTAACATGTTGCTAAGTGATTTCCATCATAGGATTCATCGCATAATGCTACACATCTAGGCGAATACAATCATCTTGATTACGTGGTTTTCGATGACACACATGGATATCTATAATAGTTCCGTATTTGAAGATTAGGTGACATTAAATCCATTGAAGTTGTTTTCATTACTGACACTTCTGTACCTCTCATCACTACACTATAACTCAATCATATTAGCGAGTGACTAGTGGTAAAATCAAAACCATTAACTCAAACTCACTGAACTGCTCTACCGACACAACAATAGATTGCTGTCAGTTCTTCATTGTTCTCAGTCTTATTCTCATTCACAACAACATCACAGTCTATTCACTTTCACTACGCTTTACATTTCAATTATCCATGTAGATTTATTGAATGAATGATAAACATTTCATTGTAATTATTTATTCACTTTTTCTCATCATTTCATCAAAGGGATGTGTATCAGCGATCATTGAATATACACAAACTTATCTAAATCTAATCATGTATCTATGTTTCACATTCGGGATTATTCAAGCGGTCTACTTGTTATTGTCATTTCTGAGAATACGTAAATTTGATGGTGACGATTTTCTATCTGCATAATTGTCTTATTGAGACCAAATGTTAAGAAGATATTGAATGAAACCTAATTTCAATCAAACAACCGAATCATTGACTATTCATTACTCATTCTATTGTCATTTGATCTTACTTATTTGTACACCATTATACACTATTCTTATCAACTGAATAATCAATTTCTTCATTATTTGCCTTGTTTAAATCAACTTGTTACTGGGAGGTATTTCGAAAGAAAACAAACAAACAATGAGAAACGTTTATTCTCTTTAACACAATCGATAGGATATTTCAACTAGAGTATATCAGCCGATCAGATCCGAAGTGTTCATACAACGAACACAATGTACTTGATCTAAAGGAGATTATTCTTATTATCATAAGGTATTGATTAGATTTCAAGATAGATGATTGTCATCTCTTCAGAATGTTTATTGTGAAGGTGTAATAGCAATGATCAATCGATCTAGTTGTGGTTATTGACAGTTGCATTATGATTTAATGATGGAAAGTCATTGGTTGACTATAACACTGAGAGCATTGTGGATTGATTGAGCTTTAGTAGTAAAACGATAGGTGTATTTTTCTTTGAAATTCTACTTGTGACATTTCGTCACAATATCTATTGAGCATAGTTGGAGATGTGAAAACCACACATTATATATACTTAGTTTACAGGATGATAGTAATACTCACTTAGTATTGTTTTGCTTGTATTTTCCCATGGGGGGTTATGATTGCAATTGATCAGTCTGTTATTAACATATGTGCATACTGTGAGTATGCCTCGATATTGCTTTAATTCACAAGCTTTCATAAGCAAAGATGGATAGTGGCTAGCCATGGAATCCAGTTTGACACGCACACAATTCAGGTTTTCCTAGATCTATGGCTATTGCAAGGAAGATGCAATCTAATTTTCTTTGGAAGACTTCTACTTCCTTGTGGATGACTTCGAATGCAGAGTCAGTCTTAATTAATTGACCTGTGTTCACAAGGTGTTCGATTATTGAACTTCTTATTGAGCCGTTTCCTTATATTCTTAGGCACGCCAACCAATGTTCTTGAATTCTTTCGGGTAAATTACGCATCGTACGATCTGTATATCTAGCTCCACATGATTAGGCGAATTAGTAAATCTATCTTTTGACGAATATTTAAGCCATTAACAATCAAATGTTTATTAATTTCACCTTGTATATAAATTGTTCTTATACATTTGTTTATTCAACCACGCTGTCACCATGTCATACAGAAGTTTCTAATCAATATTATTATCAGAATGAACATCAACTCCGAGATGTAGGTGCATCCATTTGACGGTTCCCAAATAGGACGAAACTTGCATCAAACCGGCTTCCATAGCAATGAAAATGAATTTCACGAATAGAGAACTTTTCGATTCAAAATATCAGCATTATTCTAGACTGAGCAGAGAGAAATGGAGCTCACTTTATCCCTTCTACTCAGTAACGACTGATGTTCAGAAGAGTTTTATATTTGAAAGCGTAGCCGATTCGAGATATTGAGAAATCCAATGTACTTATGATTTCTTGTGTTAAACAGGAGTTAACATCCAGACTGAACATTCATGGAACTCAACATGATTGCGACGGACCTACTTTCACTCACAATCAAGATTATTCATTATTTGCTTGATTGATTTGCAAAATATTTATTGTAAATTCACTGACGTATGGTAGGAATGTGTGTTCTCTTCAAGTTACAATCCATGTCAGTTATGGAAGTGTTGAACATTCAACTAGGCAATAAAACACAACATTCAATCTTATTCGATCAATAATTAGTAAGGAATTCCATAAACCAATTGCTTTGAATGTTATTGTTTGCTGTATTCAGTGCTATGCAATTTTCTTTCAGAAGTGAATTGGAACTGGAATACTTGTACTACCAACTAGTTTACATAAGTTTAGAGCCTTTCATTACACAATCCACACTGCATGGATTATGAGATATTTTGGCATTGCGGGAGCCAATTTTGAAATCCCATCATTATTCATCAATTACAGTGAATGATAACATCACTGATTTCTCACTGATTTGCATAGAACTAAACGTGACAGAATGATTCAATATTTCAATATTAACATTCTATAGATCTTGATAAATTGTAAAACTGCAATGCGGTTGTCTTAACATTCATCTTTACAACTGCATTAAATAAATTCTTCACTAAGGCACGTCGTCGGCAGCTCGTTTTATGTGTATGCAAGTGATTTGATTTCATAATATTAGCGATACGTTTGGAGTTTGCGTGACGATGACACGCTATCTCATATATATTGTTTGAATATCGTTGAAACCTAGTTTATGACTCATAAATTGCTTTAGAAATATCACTGGAAGCAATATGGGTTGACTGTCAAATAACCGAGCTCGAAAAACACTGATTCTACATATGATAACAATTCTGTTGTTACACCTACCCCATGCTCTGCTACTCCTTTTGAATTTGATAATGTCGGGAGTGGTCTTACAACACACCTGCTGCTGGATCACTCTAATTTAATAATGAGTTCCACCTCTAGATCAAAATGAATCGATAATATTAGGAGTGAATCAGACACTATCTTTAAGCAACTAAACAACATGTGTTCTAAAGTTCAGTCATTTCTAACTGTTTATCAAAGCATGATGACCTGAAACAAGAAATAAAGACACTATCACCCCTTAAACTGCCTTTGTCGAACGATATCGTTCCCGCGGAACTTGATGACATTATAAAAGCAGAATCTGTTATCGATTTTATCGCTAGTGAAGTTACCAAGCGAATAGTCTCTTGTAATAACGTGATTGTTTATAATATACCTGACAAAATCCCCATTAAAACTGAAAGGATTTCGATATTAAAAGCTTCGAAACTTCAAGACAGTCAATGCCAATTCATTCGACTTAATAAAGAGTACCAAAAATACTCGTGCCCGATATTGATCAGATTCGATTCTCATATATTAGCTGAACAGTTAAGAGATTCCGAGCGGCTAATCTGTGTGCTTACGAAGTTCAGAAAAGCAAGTATAGTCTCAGATAAGACCATCAATCAAAGACTTACGCAAAAACGTACCTTGAACGAAAATAAAGGTGTAGAGATTATAATAAGTCACGATGCATCAGCTGCTGTATCCACTGATGCAGCTACCCTATCTGGTGTTCTCCAGTACTCTGATTTATTAATGAAAGTTGCTAATTTGCCTATTATGCCTGTAGTGACATCTGATAACCAATGTACATCTAATGACGACACTAATCCGATATTTTCCAGTTTACCATTAGAATCCCATAAGAAAATACCTAGTTATAATGGGACAACTCTTAAAACATTATCAAGATTAAAAAGTCTATGTCACGTAGGAAGAATGTATGTACAGAACCTTCTGGTTGTAGAACCAATAACAAAAATACTACGATGGCCCTACCAAATAAAAATAAGACTATACTTCCCGACACCATACCTTACACTACACATCGTATGGGAGATTATAAGGGCAGACTTGATTAAAAAGTCTCACAAAACGACCACTACAATCATTTTGTAAGCAGGCCTAATACTAGACAAACCGCAGTGAACCAACATGCACCACAGTTACTCTCAAACGTTTTAAATAATAAACCTGTAAGACGTAACTTTTCTCAACACTATCCCATTGGGCAAGATGGATTACAAGTTTACTCACCATCAACCCAACACCAACTAGCAAGTGTCTTAACTGTCCACATAGTCAAGTTCAACAAATTAATCCACTTTATCAAAATAATGATTTTTTGGCCCTTCACAAATCCCTGGTCGACTAGCAATACAGTTTGTTCAAGCGATAACCCATGTGATCGGTCAAGCATAATAAAACACAGTCTATGCAAATCCAAAATTCACAACATCAATAGCGAAGCTCTCGGTTTTCTTACACTCCATACTCCCTTTTTAAACTTATTACTTATCAATGCACGTTCACTTCTGAACAAAATTTCAGCCTTGAGAACATTAGCTTTTATAGCCAAGCCTTCTTTCATACTTATCACTGAAACATGGTGCTCTCAATCAGTATCTAATTCAGAATTGAATATCCAGAACTATCAACTTTATCTCTGCGACAGAGAAACTAAGCGAGGAGTTGGTTGTACTATATATGCTTTGGATACCCTAACAATTAATAAAGTTGAGACTATAACCATGATCACTTGGACCTCTTTCATTCACTGATTAAACTTACAGAATATGATAAAAAATTTCATGTAATAGTCTCATGGATGCTATCAACGAGTTCTATCTGATCGTTAACTCTTGTTTAGATTCCTGTGTACCTCTTAAAACGTACAGGTTTAGTAAACCTCACAATTTATATGTACCAGCTAAATATCGTAATAAACTAAGACACCTACAGAACGTTATTTCAAGTCAAACGACTTCACGGCAGTTGCACAAATAACAATAATTTTTAATCGAATTAAAGAGAAATATAGATTCAAAGCCATTAATGAGAAGCTGTTAGCACTTAATACTAACTCAAAGGTACAAAACTTAACTCTCCTTTTCAATAAACGCTCTAAAGCAACTTGAAATGTTGATATACCATGCATCCAGCATAACAGCACTTTTATATACGACTCTAAAGCTATGACAGAACTTTTCAGTAGTATTTTTGAGAATGGTGCACGAATCATAAGTGGCTCTGCTTCAAGAGTTATGTGCGTGACTAGAAACTCAATAAAATCTATCTCCTTCACATGTATGAAAACTAATAAGGCTATAAATACCCTTAAGCTTTCGAGAGGTCATGGAGCAGACGGGATTTCATCATTTCTCTACAAATATGGTGGTCCGGATATTCCACTTCTTCTTCTTCTTCTTCTTAAGTTGTTTACTCTCTCTATGGAAACTGGTTCTTACCCTAACTGTTGGAAAACCGCGTGCATCTCACCACGTTACAAATCTGGAGATAAGACTGACATGAACAACTATCGATCGATAAATATTACTCCACTTATCTCTAGCATTATGGAAAACATTATAAGTGATGAACTTTCCAACTATTTACTCGCTGGAAAATTTATCAATGATACTCAACATGGATTCCTTAAAAACCGATTTTGCATGACATTTCATTTTGACTTCTTTAATTTAGTCTATTCTCTACGAAGTCAATGCAATCTAGTCTCAATGCTATATCTGGACATTTCTAAAGCCTTCGACATGGTTAGCCGCCAATTTTTTTATGGGCGAACTCGCATCTTATGTGGTTCAAAATTCTTTGCTATCTTGGTTTGATTCCTTTCTCAGCAATCGACATCAACTGGTTAAAATTAACTCCTCATTGTCTAACGCTATCCCTATTTTGCGATGGTGGAGAAAATTTGTAGCTCAGGTGGATGATTTTGGTGGCTTTTTGTTCTCTCGATCAAACCATCCAGCTCAGAGAACAAAACACCACCAAAAGCTATCCCTATTAGAAATGGTGTAATACAAGATAGTGTCTTAGGCACTTTGCTATTTTTAGTGTTTATCAATTATATTTGTGAATGCTTTAGTGTGAGTAAGCCTCTTCTATATGCAGATGATCTTAAAGTAGTATATCCATTTTCTCCACATGAGCTGAACAATGTGCGAAATTGCATCAGCATGGAGCTTAACAAGGTAGCAAAGAGGTGCTTAAAAATGGCAACTGCAGCATAATGCGGCTAAATGTGGATGGATATGCTTTGGCGATATATCGATCAACCTAAACATTACCATAAATGGAGAGGTGTTATCTAGGTTACATACAGTAGTAGACTTGGGACTTAGATACTCCCAAGATTTGTCGTTTACAGAACAGATATTGAAACAAACCTCCAAGTCTCAACGTCTGGTAGACTACATAACTCGAAACCTTTACAACAATGAGTCACGTATTTCAATGTACAAAGTTTGTGTTCAACCACTTGTAGAATATTGCACGTTTATTCTTAGCAGTGCGTGCATAAAGGAAAATTAAGGCTGGAATCAGTACAGAGACGATTTACACTTCATATTCTTGCAGATGATTGTACCTTGACTTATAATTCTAGATGTATTAACTTGGGCTAGAGCCGTTATGGAAGAGGAGACTCAAACTAAATCTTATATTATTTTTATTCATACTACTTATTAAACTATCATTTACATCTAATGTTACTATTTATATCAAATTGATCATGCTTGTAAACTGGCGTGAATTCTGTAATTATTATATACACAATATAGAAATTATTATCATATGGTTTCCTTCATCAATGTAAATGTAAAGAAATGTTGAAATCTGTTTTCTCTTTCAAGTCTCTCCTTTCCACTCACTTGTTTTCAGTTATACAATCCTTTTTGACAGCTAACTCTGAAATTACTCTCGTCATGTGATACCTTCTAAACTAAACTGTAATAATTGATCTTTTGGTATCAGTATCGAGACTACCCTAAACAATATGAATTGAATGTTGAGGTAGAAGCTATTGGAATCAGATAATCTATGTGAAATGATAAGTATAATTCTTCTGATGATAGACGAACTGGACTCAGTCAATTTCCTTCTCTCTACATATTTTTATTTATTGTAACAGAATAAGTGAAGTAATTTAGAAAACTGAGAACCGATTTTATGATGGCAATATCCATCTCCGTTCTAGTTATCTAACATTTTCGGAGTTGATCCTCGGTGAGATCATGGGAGAGAAATGTTCATGGATCTCATGCTAGGACCGAAATGATGTTCAATATTTCTTGATTTTCAATTATTATTTAGGGAACTCAGTTGAGAATATGAACTACGATTGTCGAAATGGGAAACCGATTCCTTGAGGAAATCACGTTTTTCAATGTTAGTTGGATATATATTTGAAATAGACACACCGATTATATCAGTTTGTACAATAGTTTTTCAATATTGATGATACAACAATGAATCGGTTGGTGGTTTCATATCTTCAAATATCTGTCTTTCTATGGATCGATCGTGTACAGACGAAATTAGGTCACTACAGATCATCGTCGAACAATTATCTGAATTGAACTCGTTACTATATATCAACATCTTTGGCAAAGCAAGAGCCCCATTCCTGCAATTGAAAAGCATGTTAAACTCAAAAAAAAATTTCAAATAATATCAGCGTCAGAATCTTCACTACTAACATCATGACGGTTTTGTTGTACGGAGCTGAAGCGTGGAGAACAACTGAAACCATCATCAAAAAAGTACAAGTATTTATGAGTAGTTGTCTATGCGAGATACTCAACATCCATTGGCCGAATACCATCAGCAACAGCATTCTGTGGGAGAGGACAAACCAGCTTCCATGTGAATGCGAAATGAGGAAAAGACGATGGAAGTGGATAGAACACACTTTGAGAAAATCACCAAATAGCATCACGAGGCAAGTTCCAACTCGGAATGCTGAAGGGAAGCGGAATAGATGAAGGCCGAAGGACACACTGTGCTGAGAATAAGAAGCAGACATTAGAAAATGAATAACAACAGAAATAAATGGAAAGGATTGATCAGGACAGAGTTGGACAGAGAATGCTAACGGGCGGCCTATGCTCCTCCACGAGGAGTAACGGGAGTTAGTAAGTAAGTAATTTATGTGGTTAAATACTAAGTTCTTTTTGTTCAGTTTTCAATCTGAAATATGTTTATCAAGATAAAATTAAAATGATATCCATCACACAGTTTAATCTTGTTGAACTAATATATCAAACTACAGGGTTCAGATGATTGAAGTGTTGTTGAGTTCATACTTCTCAACCATTTGAGATATTTTAAGTAAATAAGACAGATATTAAATCTCCACTCAAATAATGCGAACTGAAACAAAACATCCGTCGACTCAAGCGAAAATTAGTAATCACATTCAGTTTATGGTTCTATGTTCGATAAGTATTTCTATTTTCAAATCCACACATCTCAAGTATCTTCCACAATGTACACAACTCTGATTTTAATTTGTAATCATTAGACGGTATTGGTCGGAAATTTACATTACCAATCGGAATATTATCTGTCTGACATCCAGTTGTCAAACAAAGCTCATTACACTTAGAGCACCATTAATCCCAGTGTTTTTACTACGGTTGGTCATCCGTGGTGTAATTTGTGAATGATGTTTCATAGATTAAAGTATCGAATATCAATGATAAGAAATCATCAACGGTGAACAATGACTTCGTACACTTTGAACAAGTGGAACGATGTGTGAACTTAGTGGGTACATCGATACAACGTAAGTTGTCAATGTATTTACATTAACAAATAAAATGCGTGTAGTCTAAGCCATGTTATACCGATAGCGTATTCTCCATCGTAGTGTGGTTTTCACATCTCCAACTATGCTCAACAGATATTGTGACGAAATGTCACAAGTAAATTTTCAAAGAAAAATACGCCTATCGTTTTACTTCTAAAGCCCAAACAATCCACAATACTCTCAGTGTTATAGTCAACCAATTACTTTCCATCATTAAATCATAATGCAACTCTCAATAACCACAACTAGATCGATTTATCATTGCTATTACACCTTCACAATAAACACTCTGAAGAGATGACAACCATCTATCTTGAAATCTAATCAATACCTTATGGTAATAATAATAATAATCTCCTTTCGATCAAGTACCTTGTGTTTGTTGTATGAACACTTCGGATCTGATTGACTGATATACTCTAGTTGAAATATCCTATCGATTGTGTTAAAGAGAATAAACGTTTCTCATTGTTCGTTTGTTTTCTTTCGAAATACCTCCCAGTAACAAGTTGATTTAAACAAGGCAAATAATGAAGAAATTGATTATTCAGTTGATAAGAATAGTGTATAATGGTGTACAAATTAGTAAGATCAAATGACAATAGAATGAGTAATGAATAGTCAATGATTCGGTTGTTTGATTGAGATTAGGTTCCATTCAATATCTTCTTAACATTTGGTCTCAATAAGACAATTATGCAGATAGAAAATCGTCACCATCAAATTTACATATTCTCAGAAATGACAATATCAAGTAGACCGCTTGAATAATCCCGAATATGAAACATAGATACATGATTAGATTTAGATAAGTTTGTGTATATTCAATGATCGCTGATACACATCCCTTTGATGAAATGATGAGAAAAAGTGAATAAACAATTACAATGAAATGTTTATCATTCATTCAATAAATCTACATGGATAATTGAAATGTGAAGCGTAGTGAAAGTGAATAGACTGTGATGTTGTTGTGAATGAGAATAAGACTGAGAACAATGAAGAACTGACAGCAATCTATTGTTGTGTCGGTAGAGCAGTTCAGTGAGTTTGAGTTAATGGTTTTGATTTTACCACTAGTGACTCACTAATATGATTGAGTTATAGTGTGCTGATGAGAGGAACAGAAGTGTCAGTAATGAAAACTTCAATGGATTTAATGTCAAGGAAAAATTCCCATTATATTACAACACAATTGTATGAATGAAGAATATTCTTTTCGATAATTTCTGATCGGGTTCTACAATTATCGCATATCCAAATTAACAATCCATAAATTAGGCCAGATTTAGGTCAGAGTACATCATCATTTGGAAATTGTAATATTAGAATCAAGAATTGTTTTTTGTGATACAAACTCAAATGAAATCGTTAATGTTGAGGCTAACTAAGATTAAGTTGTTAACTTGAATCAGTTTATAAGCGAAAATTCACATTGGAGAAGGATTATAGGGGTAGAACAGGCCTACTAGATGTTCTATTTACAAGGAGGGAAGACGGGTCGCTCAAAAAAAAACATAAAAGGAAAATTACCTCAACGGACCAATATACAAACTTTGTTCATTTGCAACACAGAAGGAACCTTATTAAGACACTGCACCATAGAATCAAGAATATATGCTCTCTGGATACGATTGAAGATGAAACAAAGGCATTTTACAAAACCTTGAAGGAAAATGACTATCTCAAGAAATTTATTGATAGAAAACATAGCCAATAAACGACAGCATAGAGAATGCCTAACTGTAAATTTAAATCCTCTGTATATGCGCTTACAATTCAGAGGTGATGCACCGAGTGAAATGGTAAGACTGAAGTTAAGTAGATCAATTCAAGGGACTTTTAATTCAGGTAAACTACAACTAATGTTTTCCACACGTCCAATAATCACCTCGAGGCTGAAAGATAATTTGACTAGATTAGCCACCTCTATCTGTATCCATCAATTCAACTGCTCCTGTGGAGCAAGTTATATTGGCAGATGTTCTAGGAATTTGCACATTCGGCCTCGTGAGCACTTCCACGAGTGCTTAAGCGAAGGTGTAGTCAAAACGGTTAACAGCTCCACTTTAGACCACCTAGTTCAGACGAGACATACACCCAGCGTGAAGCAATCTTTCGCAGTAATATATCGTGGTAACGGTAGTCTGCATAATTCCGTCAGACTGAGAATCCTACATACGGCTGAAGCAATTGCTATTCGGATCGAAAAGCCAGAGTTTTGCATCCAAAAGTAACAACATTGCCAAACTGATTAATACATGCCTTATTTTGGCCTTTGTAAAATATTATAATTATGGACTTGTAACTGTAGAGCCTGATGATGATGTTATTGAAAACAATTGTTCTCTCAAACATTCTTCAATTTCAAAAATAATATTTTCAACCCAGGAACCATCAATCTCGCTCGCGAGCGCTTAGACAACTGAGCCGGCCGGTATTCAACGGTGTTAATATCTAACCAATCTACTGTTGAGATTACTAAAATTTCAACAAAACCCCTTCTGAAATTATTTATTACACAATTTCATTTCACTTATAAAGTGATTCATATTAAATAAAGCAAGAACAAATATTGGTGCAGAATAGTATGCATTCATATTATTTCGAGGTTTCTCGTCAGCTGATTTCAAACCAAAAAATGTGATAGAATTTTTACATTGAGATAGAGTGAAAACAATTGACATAGACGAGTGTAAATAACTGGGTTAAAATAGTAACTATATATATATGCTAGAAACAGGTCAGAGGTCAAAAGGAATTAATTCAGGTTGGATGGGGTAATAATGGAATTGAATAATCATAAGGTAGGTTACGTAATAATAATTAAATAGAATTTGAAAAGTTAAGATAATTTAAGATGATCAGGTGGTGGAAATGTGTGAATAACAATGTGGTTTAAGAATTATGTAATAGGGGAGGAGTATAAATATTTTAAAATAAATAAATAATAAAATAAAAAAGGTGTTACCAGGGTAGTGATAAGTTAATTAAAGTCTCTTTTTGAATGCATAAGTCAGGTTTAAGTTTTTTGATCATAATGGCTTCAGCAAAACGGAGGGTGGTTGTACTTCTTTGTCTATTGATAATTTTCAAAACATATGGAATGTCGATGGTGTGCCCGATGTCAAGTAGATGTCGAGCTATTGCGCTGTTGAAAACCTTAGTATTTTGGAACATGCTCAGAAATGCGAACATGCACTCTTCTCTCAGTTCTTCTAATGTATGTACTTTGGCACGTACATGTAAATTGGTAGATACAGTTGGAGTTACTAAGAAAAGAGGGCTTGTCGATTTTAGTTTGTTGAAGTGAGTAGTTCGTTTGCCATACTGTCATAAGTTTTGCTGCTGGGTAGATAACTCATCTATGTCAATTGTTTTCACTCTATCTCAATATAAAATTCTATCACATTTTTTGGTTTGTTAGCAGCTGAAAAGAAACCTCAAAATAATATGAATTCATACTATTCTGCACCATTATTTGTTCTTGCTTTATTTAAATTCATAAAGGGAACCAATTGCATGATTTATATTATTCAGCCCCAACATTAACGATAATATATGATTTTGTATAACAAACAACAATTCATAATTCACATACTACAATTTACAAATGATTCAGTAAATTGGTTTAAATTTGCAAAACTATTCACTTACTCTGGGAAATTCGAGTTTACTGTACATACATGAAACAGGTGTTTTTAGTACTCTATCAATAAATGGATAGTCCTTGTACGATGACGCTCCACAGCAGAAAAACTATAGACAACAGATCATTAGATTCTTCGATTTGATTATAATTTACACTCATTTGTAATTGATCAAACTCCATTCGATAAACAACTTGTTTATCATATTGTTTAACAGAAGAACTCAGCGAGCTATCAGCGAACTTAGGGAACTGTAAATATATGAAGATCAGTGTGCACGACACATTAGGTTCAGTTTACATCAAACAAACCCTGTCTTCCGTTAAAGCTACTTTAAATGCCATACCGATCCACATACAAGTCACGATAAACAAAACGAAAATGTTCTAAACAGAAGTGTGAGTGAAATACATTTGTCCATATTCCACGTATCACTTACAAAATATATGATCACTTTCTGTTTCATCGAGTGTCCATAAATGCCAACACATGATCCTAGTATACCGAGACCTCCTGAAATACTGACAATCAGGAAGATCTCTGGTTTCGCATTTTGTAGTATAGTTCTGAATTGATTTAATGTGATTTGTGGTTGAATTCCGAGTGCTAACAGAACAACACCAAACACCTGGATTGTATAAGTAAGATGAAATGAATAACCATATAAGGCGAATACATGTAATGATACTTACTATAAAACTACAATTGCACAGGATGAATATTTTAGTCCAAGATTCACTTGACAATAACATTTCAATATTGTTCACTGAGATGATGATATTGTGTATGCTGTATGTACTGGTAATAAATGTGAGTCAATGTATCTTTCACTTTGAATCTGAATTTTCACAAAATATCAAGTGAAATAGTGAAATTAATTGGGATTCGTCTGAATTAATTTATTCATTGTACTGTGTATTTCTAATAGAAATTCATGCACAACACAAAGTTAACTTACTTAATTCAGAAGCACTAATGAATCACTTCATCATTATCATTGTCACTATGGTTCGGCTTCATTTTATTATCAAAGTCAAAGGTATACAACTTGTCATTATAAGTAGTTAAAATTTGGTTTGATGTATGTTTATGCATTTGTTAGTGGTAATTGTGATGTAGTGAACGAGAACACAAGTGTATTTGAGAAGAAAATTACAGAATATCTTTTGAAAATATCTGATAACCATTAGTTATATACTGTCTAATCTTTCCGATTACTGCTTGTACTCTTATTACCTCCACCACTACGGGATTTGAATCGACCACGGCATCTCTGTGCTAATGTGGTGTGGCAACTCGAACTGATGTATGTACGTACGAAGTTCTACGTTGTTACTGACTGACTGACTGACTGAGATATATACTGCATTTGCAAAATGTCAATTCATTGTCTCAAACTTGACTGTTCCTTCTGCAAATGCCATTCAATCGTCTCAGAATTCATTGTGCTTCTGGTTCCACACTGATCATTCTCTGTTTACATTCTCTTCTGTTTGATCTTCTCAACCTCCTGTTTCAGGTATTTCACTTTCGATTGATAATACATACTACTCACATCTCTCAACATCACTAGCTCACACCTGTTATAGTCACACTTACATTCATATAATCAGGTCATGGTCATACAGAGATGACATGGACATTATGAGTGGTTGCATACTCAGTATGTCCAACAGTATTTCCTCAATTATGCTAGGTAACTGTTCATTCAATATCATGAGGACATACTTCAAAATAATAAAGACAGACGATTAACCAATATTACGTTGAAGAACACAAGCTGTGAATGTACGTAACAATTATTATGGATATCTGTAATCGTGGCAGTTTAGTGAAGTGAGAGTAAACAGGATGAGATTCATGTGGAGCAGGTGTATTTCATGAAGGATGATCAATGTAATATAGAAATGCTGAGAAAGGCAAATTCAATATCGACTTAATCAGCGTATTATAGTGAATATCAATGATTGTAGAGATTAAATGAAATTATGAAATATGTGAATAATGCCATACGTATTCACAGTAATAATTGCACTATCCGTCTCTACAATCCGTTCAAACAGTTACGTAAACTAATGAAGGTTTTATTATCAATCCAAATAACGCATACAATTTCGTTATTGCAAGAACACCGTGTATGAATGAATAACTATGGAACATATTCACAACTAATCCTTCCAAGTATCTGTGGAAGCCAAGTTCTGAAAAATACTGAAAAAGTTATGTACGATAAAATTTCATACACATAGTTCCCTTTATCATTTTGAAAAGAGCAAGAACAAACATTCTAGCAGAATAGCATGAATTCATTTTTATTTCGTTTGGTTCTCGGCAGCTACTTACAACCTGTGATATTTTAAATCATAATTACATAATGAGTTTAAATTACTTACATGAAAGAGTTTGATTGGAAGTTCTATTGAAGACATATTCGTATAGTATAGTAACGGTGTAAATAAATTTAATAGACTGAATATTATAAATATATACCTTATGTGATGAAAAAACATTGTGACAACAGTTAAAAGGGCTAGAAACAAGTAAACATTAATAGGAATAAAATGAGTAGAATTCAGTTGATAAAATAAGATAGTTGGAATAAAACTCAATGGTGTGATAAATGCAAGAAAGAGTTTAAAGAAAAGGAAAAATATTAAGATACAACAAAGGATTAATAATCACCAAGAAAAGGAAAGATTAATAACCATCTCCTTTTGAACACATAAATCAGGCTTTTGGCGCCTGGTAGCAACTGCTTCAGCAAACTTCAGAAGACTGCAGTTTGGCTGCTTACTAATCACCTTGAATGATTGTAGGGTATCGACCTGATGTCCTGTATTAGGAAGATATTTGGTAATTGCACTATTTAGAGTCTTTCTTTCTCTTATTCTGAGGCTTATAGAACATGTTCAAATAAAAATCTGAGATATGCCCTACTTTCTGTTCGGCCAATGTAGCTGCTTTGGCAGGTACACGTAAATTCATAAAAACAATTGGCGGTAACATGAAAAGGATGCTTATCAACCTTCGATTGAGTTACCGAGCATGTTGTTTTATACAGAATTTGAAGTTTGGCCGCCAGATAAGTTCTGGATAGCGCAGTATTCAGTCACCTGTTGATTGTGTTTGCAACCTCATCACCTTTGAAGTTAAGACTTATAGTTATTGGGTTTTTTTTATTGACAGTAAAGATGATGAAAATGAAGTAATATTGAGCGTTAAACGTTTGATCGGATTCAAAGACAGCCTTGTTGACAGTTTACTGAGGGAAGTATGAACCGTCCTTTGAAACATATATCAAGAATAAAGTGGTCGATCGAAGAAAAATGTTAAGGTGATTTCATTCTCAATGATTGTAGATGATTTTGTTAGATTCCGTTTCGATAACTCGTATAATGATACGACTGAAGTTATAGAGAGACGCATTAAAGTGTTTTAAAGATCTTCAGGAGAGGAATTGAATTAATAATCAAACATATGATGACTCGAGGGTCCAGATTAACGTATTTAAATGGACTACCATAACTACACAAACCTGAGTCTTCTGTCAGAAATATCCTATCAACGATCAATTATCCATCTCTCAAACTCGTAGAATGTTTAGTGGATCAATTAGAACCCATTCGCTTTATATCATGTGTTCATAGTTTGAAAGACGCTTCCAAGTTCACTCAGATGCTAGAGAATCTTAACAGCTTTGATCGTTTCATGGTATAATCTGATATATCATCGCCATTACAGCAACCACTTAAAAGAAACAATACAAATTGTCACCATTCTGAAATACTTCCGTTACCGAAAGGCCAATTCAAGGAACTTCCACTGTTATGCACCATAGACGTTCAGTTTCGACTCAACAATATCGTATACAGTCAATTTGATGGAGTAGTCATAGGCGGTCTACTGAATCGGATCCTAATAGTTATCTCTGTGGCAAACATAGAACAAACAGTAATGTGTATCCTCGTCAATATTCTGTCTCTACATGTTCATCTAATTTATTTAGGACATTTGCCGATATAAGGTATATAAACTTATCTTGTTTTACTGATCAATACTATTGGCCTATGATCCGTTGGGAGTAACAGGCGTAAGTAAAAAAGCAAGTAAGATCAAAACTATGGTTTTCAGTTGTAAACAGCCGAGTGGAATCCACGAAATAACTGAATTCATGTTGTTCTGCTACGATATTTGTTCTATATGTAATCAAGCTTATAAATGGTAGAAACTGTGTGAAAATTTTCAAAGTTGTATCAATGCAAACAAAAACTAAAACTTTTGTTGCATATTTGATAAGCGTAACAATGTTTATTGGAAATTAGTAATAAACGAGCAAAATAACTAAGATCGTAAATTAACAAATTTATGTTGTAGTTGCTAAGTGTGTGAAAAGTAACAGAAGTTCTATAAAGATTGTTAATTGTTAGAACGCGTTTGTCCAACATCAGTCTAGAAAAAAAGATTATAGAAAAATCATGGAAATAAAAATATAACCTTAAGGATAAAGGTTAGTCGACTGGGAGAGACGCCTTTGGAAGACCAGAAGGTACTGTGATTGTAGAGAGAGAAAAAAGAGAGAAATTGTACGGTTAATTTTGACTTATCTAAGCCAGATCTGAAGGTTCCGGTTATTTGAAGAAGAGGAAATTCTAATGCACTTGGCAAATTTTTACTAACTTTGTGTGGGGGTGGATTTCAGACATAAATATTCATAAAGTCGTCCATTACTAAGTTTCTAATTGGCCCTTTGTTGTCTTATAACCATACAGTTTATTGCTTATGCATTATCTTTGACTAAAATTGTGTGAAACATCCTATGTAATCAGTTGGTTGACATTAAAAGGACAGTAATTATGGTTCCCTACCACCCAGTTCTTTGAAGTTGTAGGGTATGGAAAAAAATGTAGGGATAGGTGATTGGTGTACTTGTTTTTCAAGTGTGTGCTCAAGTGATAATGAACAAACATTTTGTCCCCTTTATTAATTTCGTAATTGGTCGTAAACTGTTCATCTTTGTAATCTGATTAGTTGAAATCGAAATAGCATCAAGTGCTTTGATTGGATGTCAGAATTTACATTTTTACATTTGAAATTTAATGAGAATGAATAATTCTTGTAGTGTAATCTCAGTCTTGAAAACAGTTAGACTTTTGAAGAAAAAGACATCAACTTAATTGCACTACCGTGCAATCCTACTGTTAGTGAATGTGTATTCGGACAGTTCACTGCTCGTACGTTTACTGATGAATCGTAAGCACAAAACCTATGAAACATTGCTTCGCAAGGACGAAAACCCATGCAGCTTCATCACCAGTTTCATATGGAAACACTTGCCATCTTTATAACATCGCGAATAAGATGTACATGACACAAAATGTGGTGAGCATTCGGATACATCGGCGTGATGGCAGCAGCTATTGCAGGTGAATCATCTGTCACAATGCCTGCCACCTGTCGATTGTTGGTTGACCGTTGGAAGAACGACAGGAATCGGGAAATCAAAGTCGATGTCCCGCGACTTATAAATCTAATGCAAACGGGTATTGCCCTAAAATTCATATCAAGGACAACTACGTGATATAAATATATGTTATTTGACTTGTACGTCCTGTCGAAACCAATGACATCAAGGAAGCGAGCTGCCAAATTCATTTGATCAGCAGTCCTTATTGACAAAATATGACAGGTAATTTTCATCGTCTAGTTCGTATTCACAAAGCCCACCCAAGGATGTTATGTGAGCTTTTAATTTTGCGTAATCACCTATGGTGTACATTATAAATTGGCAAATTGCTTACCAGGAAGGTTCGCGTGTGAGAACACTTTATACCGCATATTAAATACATGTTGATCATTCAAACGTTTTCCATTAGAATGGCAAGCAAAATGTTAATGTCGAATGCTGCGGTATCGGATGTCAGGAGCAGTCGCACCGTTTCGAACTCTACCTCTGCTTACCTGGGTACACAAGAATTACCGTCGCACCTCAGGGAATCGCACTCGTGATTGTGACGCACATTCCCACGTACGACAGTCCA